TGTAGATAGGCCAAGATGGATTTTATTTTCTCTGTATATTCTGTCTATCCAGCTCTCTCTCTACAAATGTCTATGTGTCTGTCATGTGTGTATGGAGGGAGACAGGCTAGTGTGTGTGTGTCTGTGTCTGTGTGTATATATATATATATACACACACACATATATATACCCCCATACACACACACACACACACACACACACACAGAGTCACACACTCACACACACAACTCTTTGTTCTATTACTTTATACCAGAAAAGATATGCAAACTTTTCATTGTAATAAGTAGATCCTTTCTCTTGTCTTAACTTTTAGAACATGAACCAAGTTAAAAGTTACATAGTCCAAGATATAAGTAATCAAACCCTGAATTCAACAGCATTTTTCTAATAATCAAGAAAAACTTGGGTTGAATTCTTGTGTTTCTCATAGCCAAAGCTGCACTCTCCGTTCAGCAATGTCTAGTCTCTTTTCAGCATAACCAACAGAAGCACCATACAAAAGTCTTACAATGGATGTCTTAATCTCTCTGTGTGCTTTTAGAGCATTATTTTGAATTCCATCATGCTGCCTTTTTTCTTTCCTCTTCTGAAGTTTTATTACAACAGCAGAATTCCCAGGGAGCTTTGAGGGCAAGGTTCACATAATATAGCCCTGAAGTTTTGCTTAGGTGGAATCCATCCCCCATTCCTGGCCATCGTTTGATGATCTTTCTGTTTCAAAAAGATTCACTAGATAGAGTCTTACAGCATTAGTTGTAGATAGTTTATTTTTTTACTTTTTTTTCCTATTTACTAGACGGTGAGCATCCACAACCCTTTCATGATGCTTTCTTTCTCTGACCCCTCAGTGACAAGGCATCTTGTTCTTTAACATTGAGGGAGGCAGAAAAATGCTTGAGTTGCTCAATGTGTGCCTTCTATACCAGTTTCAAAATGGCTTATTCTTCTGGTTTCCATGGTGACAATTAACACTGTTTCAAGGCATTGTTCCAGTCTCCATTTGGGCAGAATTTTCGGTGTGATTTTTAACAAAAAAAAAAAGAAAGAAAGAAAAAGTTCTTGGGAGGGGGTGCTGTTAGCATAACTGTCAAAAAAAAGTTATCTCAATCAGGTCTTCATGCATTTCTGAGTATATTTCAGAAATCCTTGTTATCTCTGGCTTTGTTTTATAATTAGGTCTTAGTAGTTTGCTTTTAAAAAGCAAGCACTGAATAAGAAGTTTCTAAAATACTTCAATTCTCAGTTAAAACAGTAAACTGATGTTCATGGCTATTTTAATTCGCTTTAAACCTTCATTGCCATCAAGTTGGAACTGACTCATAGCTGAGCCTCCAGCAGGTTTTCAGAGGCTGTTAATCAGAAGGAAAGAATTTGTCCATTTTACTTCATGGAGCAGCTAGTGGATTCAAACTGCTTGCTTCTGGGTTTGCAGGGCAGCTCCTTAACCAGCAGGCCACTAGAGCTTTCAGTTCTTATTAAGGTTATATGCAATAAAAGGTGTACACATACACACACAAACATGCTGTGTTTTATATACACACACATACATTTACATATATACGCATATATACCTATGTACATATACGTGCATGTGTGTGTGTGTGTGTGTGTGTGTGTTGTTATTTTGTGCCATTGAGTTAGAATCTACCCATAGGTGACTCTCCAATGGGTTCTCAGATGCTGTAAATTCCCCATCCCATCTTTTTCCCACAGAGCAGCTGGTGGATTGAAACCATGTTCCTTTGGGTTGTCAGTGCAACTCTTTACACCTAGGCCAATAGAGCTCCCTATGTGCATGTATTGTTGTGTACCATCAAGTTGGAACCAACCCATAGCTGACCCTCCAGTGAGTTTTCAGAGGGAGTTAATTGCACCAGAAGAGATTCCACAGAGCAGCTGGTTTTGAACTGCATGCCTTTAAGATTGCAGTGCAGTTTCTTACCACCAGGCCACCAGAACTCCCTATGTACATGTAGATTTAGACACAGAGACAGAGACAGATATATATATATACACACACACATATATATACATACATACATACATACATAAACATACATATACATACAGAGAGAGAGAGAGAAAGAGAGAGAGAGAAAGAAATTGATGTAGATATACAATAATGTATGATACTTAGTAGAGGAGTAGTCTATGTCTCTAATTTAGATGATTCACGTATCTATTAGAAGGATCTGTTAGTCAAAATTTAATTGACTGTGCAAATACACTTACTAAAGTAAATATGCCCTTTCAATAGAGTATATTTTATTTTTGGCTAGACAGAGCAGTCCACAGCAGGTGCTTTGGGGAAATTAAATAGTGGATGCTTCTTTACCTTAGCACTTCAGCAAAGCCATCTGACTTTAACTTGCCTAACTTCATTTATGGCGATTGAAGAGTTGTCTATGTCATAACATCCCCAGACTACAGGACACAGTCAGTCAACCTTTGCTCACTTACTGCTGTGGTAGAATGAATATGAAGATTAAATTATCTTCTCACCACAGGATAAAGGAGCCTGACTTGATAGGATAGCCAAGAACTGATAGTGCTGGACCCCATAATGTTTCTGAAAAGATGTTAGAAAGAAGAGCAAAACCTATTCATATTAACAGAAGCATAACTCTCGTAGCATTACTCTACCCACAGCTCTTCGAGTCCTAAATCATATCAGATTCAACCTTCAGAGTGTTTCAAAAATTAAAATAAATATTTTCTCCTTAAATTACATGACATCCTAGTACCTTTCATTCATATACCAATACATCTAACAATTAACTGGATTCTCTTAGCTTTTACAGTTTGAAGGCATTGTCCATCAATCACTTCTTTCATCAAGCTGTTTATAGAGTAGGTTACATGGTGACAAAGATAGAAAGCATACATAAAGACAAGCTTTTTAAATTCAATAACCTTTTATAATAGCTGTTGCAGAAACTATTTGTACTGCATCTCCCAGAGAAAATTATTTTATTACATCTAAAATTAAATTAATTGCTTTTTATATTTTTATTATTACAAGACTATGTTGTTTATGGGACATATCTAAACTATTTGCTTTCTTGATGGATGTACTGAGTAGGAGTCATTCAGAGTTGGGGGTATAGAGGGGGTATGAGTTTGTCACAGGCCGGAAGATAACTGGTCAAGGCTGCTCCCAAGTGGCACAGCCAGAGGACTCCCTCTGTCCATTAATTCTCATCATAAGAGAAAAGGGTTTGAATGGAATTCCTCTGCTTGCCTGAAATATTGGCTCCCTCAAGATTATGTCAAAGTCTTACAGAATTAATTATGTAAATCTTGGTCAGCTACATCATCTTCAGACGGAAATCTGATTACATAAAGCACATTGTTCTCTCCTCCAATCATCACTCTGACAAATAAAACGCTATATTTCTAGAATACTTGTTGAATATTGAATCCCGAAAACTCAAGTGGACAGTCTGTTTTCTAAGTATTGGAGTGATGTGCTCCCAGTAATTGCCTGCCACTAGGAAACACAATCAGAATTTCCCACGTCTCTCAGACCAGATTCTGAAAGAGCTCTAAAGCAACCCTTGATTTTTTTCGCCCCACTATGCATATTCATGCAATTTTGGGTATTCTGACACCCTGATCAACACTCATTAATAATATGAAATGCTTTAAATCACCTCATTTAAAACATTTTGTTCTGTATGCCACAAATGACTAACATTTGGAGAAGTTTACATAATACAAATGATGTGCATGTTTAGTGTAAATGAAAGATTAAAATATGAAACTAAAAGTATGCAAACATATGCATGCAAATGCTGAAGATCTATTAACCGAGACTGATTTCACACCTTCTTTTATTTTAAGCTGCTTCCAGTTGTATTTTGATTTTGGATTTTATATAATAACATATTTACAAGATGAATACCATCATCCAAGTACCTGAGGATGCTTTGAACTTGCTGATTTGGTCTAGACCAAACCCTTTCTTATTTTCTCCCTTATTGGTGCTTAGTTTTTATCAGGTAAAAGGCAAGCCTATCAAGGACTAAAGTGAAGAAACTTTACAACCCAAGGAAAGGACTTTGAGGACTGCCATTATGTTTTTTTGAATGTGCCTAAATAATGTAAAGGATGCTTAATATTCAACCAGCATTTTGTTTTTCTACACAAAGCTGTTTTTACAGATATATTTTTAAAAATACAACTGCAATAATTTATAGCCATCATAATATAAAACTTCTAATTCTGAAGTTAACCAAATAGATTTATCTGAAGTGAATCACCATAGTAACTGTCATATTAAATGGCACTTACATTATCTCTAGCAAAACATCTTTTAGGAAAGATTCACTTGGCAGTTTGTCAGAATAGCGTGCATATTGAGGGAAATGGTTCAGTAATCAATTTTGATGTTTGGGGACATTTTACAGTAATCAGCAAGGAAGCATAGATTAGTAACCTAACCGTTCCCAAGGAACTCATTTTCTTTTTTTCCTCTTGGTCTGGACCTCTTCCTCGCATCTATACAGAGTTTTCAAGTAAAAAGAAATACAAAATTTTACCTGGGAATTTATTGACCTTACAGGATAAGAAGAAGTCATATAATCTTTATGGATAATTTCTTTTGTACCATGCTGAGACTGGCACATTGGGGGCAGTGATGACAGAGAAGCAGGGTTTAGGGACCACATGTTTAACTCCCAAAATTAATTGTAATATTAATTCCTTCTAGGGGAGATATTTCCCTTTTTAAATTATTTAAATTAAAAATCAAGTATGCCAGTAAACTTTAGTTTTTAAAGGTATAAATCTTAGTCAACTAAATATCTCAGATTCTTGTATCTATGCATGTAAGATATATCATAGTATTTAAATGGTTTTCTACAACATTGCTCAGTTACTCACGGTCCTTCTGTTTAACCTCCACCTAAAATTTATTGAAAACTTTTTACACTCAGTGCTCAGAGATTCTCTAAGAACTCCTCCCTTCCTCACACTCTCTTTCTCTCCTCTTGTTTTAGCGTTACAGTGTGGAAATGTCCATCAGGCACCCGAAAAAGACAGAGCTGCTTAGTAAGGTTGAAGCTTTGAAGAAAGGTGGCGTTTTACTACCAAATGATCTCCTTGAAAAAGTGGATTCAATTAAGGAAAAATGGGAACTGCTTGGGGTATTTGCATTTTTATTACTGTTTGTAGGTTATGTGTACATTTTTTGTGTAGTGAAGTACTCTATCTGTCTGATTTCTAATTTGAGGCACAAATATCTCTCTCTTTCAATTCACTACCTACATTTCAAACAAGCTATTCATGCTATTATAGGGAGGGAACACTGCTTTTTTCCTTTTCTGTTGATTTTTTTCTTCTGAGCTTGTCTCCCCTCAGATTTTAATAATTTTAGTTCTTTAATACATAAAACGTAAGTAAAATATGCCTTGTATTATAGGTATGCACCAAGTCAACTATAATATAGTATATCTGATATACACTGACTGTCATGCTTGAATGAATGTTAATAGAATTTATTCTGAAGGTACATGTTGGAGACATCCACTGTTTAACTATTTACTGTATCCTTAAGATGAAAAGTGAGGTTGTCACTACAACGTTCAAGTCACACTAAAGCCGCCAAAACAAAGATGCAAATTTGATCCAGATCTGAATTGTAGAATTAAATCAGTCTCTGTTTTGTACATCAATTTCCAACTCACTTTTAACAAAAGCAAAAAAAAAAAGTTTCATGTAATTCATTTCACACAATGATAGGCTGGGTCTCAGCCAGAGATTGAGATGCAAGAATCTGGTAAAAAGGGAATATAGAGATTCTGTTACCCAGAGACCAGGATGGCACTGTGCAGGAGACAGTACTGTCCTTTTGTTGGAAAACAGCTGAGAGAGAGAGGGCTTGAACTATATATTTTCAGCAACTTCTCTCCTAAATTGCCTTCACTTCAAATCAAGGGTAAGCTAAACTTGTCAATTACCTCCATGGTTATAATAGTTTAGAATGGGTGGAGTCAGTTAGGGAGCACTATTTTGCATGCCTTCCATTTTCTGCCTTTTTTAAAAAAAATAGTGACAAAATAATTATCAAAAAATATTTTTAATAAAAAGCTCTCCATAAACCCTGATGACTTGGAGGCATGCCAGGGTTTCGTTTATGCCATCTTTAATCTAGGTGATTAAAAACCTGCAATTTCAAGTCCTTGCTTTCTTATCTAAATTTGCTACACTCTGCAGTGAGCAAAGTAGCTCAAAATGTTCAAAGTTTTTACTTTGACTTGTTCTTACATTACTTCCTAGTAGCATGGAGTGGCACTTATTTTATAATATTGTGATTTAAATCAGAACCTACTAAATTCTAGATTATCAATTCATCCCATACAGGAAAACTATGGTGAGTTGATGATATCTAAATATTGTTTACTAAGTAGATAAGAATATAGTATGTTTAATAGTGGAAATTATGGTTCGCTTACATTGTATTTTCATGTATCTAATACTAACTTGAAATAATAGTCTTTCCTGAAAATTGTTTAAAATATGATATGCACTTATTTCCTCAAAAAATTTAAAACAACATTATATTTAAAAAAAAGAGGAAAAATGTACTTAGTTTTCTTTGATGAGCTGGATAGCTTAAAAATAAATGCTATTTAAAAAAATGTCATTTATATTCAACATGCAGGATTTTATAATAATCTTAGGAACAGTAGGGGTGGAGGGGAGATTTTAACAAAACCTGTACCACACTAACACCACCAGGCATACTGTTTTAATTGGCATGATTACATTTTAATTGGCATGGAAAAAAATCAAAGACAAGGATTTTAACTTTTAACAATAGTAAAATAGAGGGATATGGTTTTTAATATTACTTTCATCTAAGGTGAACAGTGTGGAATGGAAATACATTAGAATGAAATGTCAGTGGTGCGTACAGTTTAATCTGTGAAATTTTGTCCCCTGTGCTGCATATTACTCTGTCTCAATTGCATATTAAACAACCCTATCAAGGCAGGCATTGGCATCTGCTGTGCTGACACAAATTGTGAATTAAATGAAATTGATGTCCTCTGTCGTATATTTATGAAGACGGACCATTCTCTGAAGTATTCTGTTTATGAAGAATTTATGATTGCAAACTGTTCCAGAACAAAAAAGTGGCAATAAATTCTTTTTTGTGACCCTACCCTCCAAGGGCATTGATTTCACCTCCTGCTGCTACTTTTGTTACAGCATAAAAACAATAGTTAAATCTGGATTCCACAGAGAGTCTTCAAATTATCAATATTTGCACCATGAAAATACAAGGGTGTTGCCAGGAAAGGCTATTTTTCTGTTATAGTTTCCTAAATATACTATTTACAAAACCCTACACAGCAAATGAATGTCTATTGACTCCATTTTATTTGTGTTTTAAAGCTTAATTTTGGAGGCTTAATTCATCATTATGGATTAAATCCTATTGATTCTCCATAGACAGTGTTTTCAACTCCTTCGCCCCCGCCCCGAAAGGCCTCACTCACAACTCCTGTCATGTCATTCAGATAGGCAGGCTTCTAGCACAGCATATCAGAAATTGTTTTAACACATATAGTAGAAAGTACAGAATCCACAAATGAAAAGGGGGAAGAATTGTGGGATTAACAGTTTCCAAGGCGGATAAAATTAACAGGATTGTAGAGACTATCCTTCAAATCCTTCTGTCATGAGGTTTGAGGGATCAAATGTCATGAAACAAAAAAAGGAATTTAACTCTCCATGTATAGTCAGCACTTGGCCTCTTTAATAGAGTGATTAAAATCAGGCATTTATCTCCTGAACATGTTATGCAGATTTAAAAAAACATTTTTTTTTTACTGTAAACTCCTGTCCTGAGATTTCAAATGAATTTTTATCAGTGACCATCAATGAACTTGAGGTCAAATTTCCTTTCTGTTAAAAGAAAGCAAAAGTGAATGAAGTCTGAATCCCTGGTTGGTAGTTAAAACAACACCCAGTCTGAAAATCTGAATTCTAAATACAACAAGGAGCTAGGCTGGATTTAATGTCAGTAGTGAGGGCTACCTCTGGACACCTACCCAGAGGCTCTTGTTGTCAACCTAAGGGTAAAGTTTTTGTTACCCAAACTAATCTTTGTCTTGTTTGTTGTTGTTGTTTTAATCTGATGCATTAGAAAACCCTAGGAGAGAAGATCCAGGACACAATGGCAGGACACAGTGGGTCGGGACCACGTGACCTGCTCTCTCCTGAAAGCGGAAACCTGGTAAGGCAGCTGGAGGTCAGGATCAAAGAACTGAAAGGTTGGCTAAGAGATACCGAGCTTTTCATCTTCAATTCCTGCCTGAGACAAGAAAAAGAAGGAACAATGAATGCTGAGAAACAACTGCAATACTTTAAGGTAATAAAAAAACAATCAAAGTTGATAAAAAGCTTTCTTTATGGTTTGGATGAAATATTTATCAAGTACATAAAGTATTATACCCATGTAACTATGTATCACTGTGCACTTAAATATTGCCTTGAATTTATAGACACCCTCTACATTTCTTTTATGTCAAAGTCTGTGTGTATATAAACATGAACATTAAGCATAGAAAGTACACATAGTATATAGTGCAGATCCTTGCTGCTTACATGTTTTTGTGCAATGCTTGTTGATGGAGGTCAGTGATAAATTAAAACCAAACCACAAAACATTGAGGAATGTTGGGGACTTTTAAAGACAGACCAAAATGTTCTATAAATAACTTGGCTGGAAATTGACATAACTTGATATGATAAAAGCATATGATTTAACTGAAGGCCATTAATGCTAACATGAGATGTTTCTGAAATTCAGGTGGGATGAATTCAAAGTGATATTTTGGTTCCCGTGGATTCGGTTTAATTTTCCTCAGCTTCAGCTTGTACTTGCATATGAGTGGTGGTCTGTTCCACAATCAGCTCCTGGCCTAGTTTTCACAGCTGATACTGAGCTTCTCCAGTGGTTCTTTCCTCAGATGTAATCAATCTGATTTCTATGCATACCGTCAGGTGAAATCCATGTGTATAGCCTGCGTTTATGTTTCTTATAAAAAGTACTTGCAATGAGTAAGTCATTGGTCGTGCAAAATTCAGTCATTCTATCTCCAGCTTCATTTCTGTCACCAAGTCCATGTTGTCCAACTGTGGCTGACTCTGAGAAGAAAGGGAATCCCAGAACACTTGATCGTGCTAATGTGAAACCTATACTTGGATCAACAGGCAGTTGTCAGAACAGAGCAGGGAAACACTGCATGTTTCAAAATTGGAAAAGGTGTACACCAGGAATGTGTCCTATCTCCATACCTTTACAAACTGTACACAGAACAGATTATCCAAGAGGCTGAACTCTATGAGGAGAAGTGTGGCATCAGGATTGGTAGAAGATCTATTAACAATCTGCGTTATGCAGATGACACAACCCTGCTCGCTGAAACTGAGGAGGACCTGAAGTGCTTGCTGCAGAAGGTCAAGGAGTGGAGCCTTCAATATGGATTGAGGCTCAATGTCAAGAAGACAAAGATTCTCACCACTGGACCAATTGGCAGCATCAGGATGGATGGTGAAGAGATTGAGATTGTTAACAACTTTAGTCTGCTTGGCTCCACAGTCAACACTCCTGGCACCAGTAGCCAGGAAATTGAAAGACATATTGCCATGGGAAAGTCTGCTGTTAGGGACCTCTCCAAAGTACTGAGGAGCAATGGTGTCACTCTGGAGACTAAGGTGCATCTGATACAGGCTATGGTCTTTGCAATCACTTGTTATGCATCAGAGAGTTGGATAATGACTAGGAAGGATAGAAGGAGAATTGATGCCTTTGAGGTGTGGTACTGGAGAAGAGTATTGAATGTACCATGGACTGCCAAGAAAGCAGATTCAACCTGGAAAGGGTTAAACCAGGCTGCTCCTTGGAGGCAAGGATTCTGGGGCTTCGTCTGACATACTTTGGACATGTTATAAGGAGGGACAGGTCCTTGGAGAGGGACATCATGCTTAGGCGAGTGGAGGGATGGCGCAAGAGGGGAAGACCTTCTATGAGGTGGATTGATTCAGTGACTGGGGTAATCAGGATGGGTGTGTCAGAGACAGTGCGATTGGAACAGGATAGAATAGGATTTAGGGCTGTTGTACATAGGGTCTCTATGAGTCTCAAGTGACTCAGCAGCACATAACAACAACAGCAATAATGCTAACATAAAGAAACATGGGTTTTACTTTAAAAAAGAGTCATCTATTTATGCAGGGGAAAAATAAGTCTTTCCTATATTTGTTGTTGTTACGTGCCATTAAGTTGCCTGCCACTTATTGTACTCCTATGTACAACAGCCCTAAACCCTGCTCTATCCTGTGCCAATCTTATTGTCTCTGACACACCTACCCCCATTACTCCAGTCACTGAATCAATCCATCACATCAAGGGTCTTCCTCTCCTGTGCTGTCCCTCTACCCTTTGAAACATGACATCCCTCTCCAAGGACTGGCCCCTTCTTGCAACATGTCCAAAGTATGTGAGACATAGCTTCAGAATCTTTACCTCCAAGGAGCAACCTGGTTTAACCCTCTCTAGGCCGAACCTGTTTGTTCTTAGCAGTCCATAATATATTCTGTATCCTTTTCCAGCACCACAGCTCAACGGCATCAATTCTCCTTCTATGTATGTATTATTTATTATTTATAAAAATGGCATCCTTATCAACATAACTGCATGTTTTCACTGTATGTCCATGAAGGAAGCTATTTCTGAGTTTATTATTTACAAAATAACAATTCAGAAGCAGTTTAAAATTGAATATTTCTCACTTATTACCCAAACTAAGTCTCTACTATCTAACCTTTCCAATTGATTTAGAGATTATTTGAGCTCTGGCTGGAGTTAACCTGTATGAGCCTTAAGAGTTCTAGATTATGAATGATAGCCAGAAACCTTCTAGCAGGAAAGATCTTAAAGAAGAAACCAAAATGGAAAAGACGTCTAGAGACCAAGCAACCATTTCTTCTTAGAATCTTACAGGTCCAGATGTTCTAGTCATCTGTGAAAGAGCAAGGGCCACATGGTAATGGACTTATTTGACCGTTAGCAACTTCACAAAAGGGAACAGTCCCTATCTCAAAGCCAATTCCCATGAGGTCGGGCATGTCCTCCACACTCCCACACTTTTTTCTACTCATCCCAACACCAATCTTACTGCTTGACTGGACCTAAAATCTGATAGCTCACAGACCACACAGAACCATTTGGGGAAAGTCAAAAGGCTATATAGTACAGGTTAGTAGATCATTTGGGAGGCTGGACTTTATAAGGAGGACCAGGATTAAAGGAAGACTCATCAACAACTTGCATTATACAGATGACCCAGCCTTGCTTGCCAAAACTGAGAAGAGAGGACCTGAACCTTAAGCTGCAGAAGGCCAAGAACTTTGGTCTTCAGTATGGATTGAAAACATCTAGAAAACAAAGATTCACACTGCTGGACCAGTTCTCAATATAGAGAAGATAGAGAAGAGGTTGAGCACTCTTGGCACCACCAGCAGTTAGGAAATTAAAAGACAAATTATATTAGGAAAATTTTCTCTCAGGGACCTCCCTGGAGGGCTGGAGAGCAAGGATGTCAGTTTAGAAACTAAGATGTGCCTGGTCCAGGCCATGGTCTTCGTAATTTCTTGCTATGCATCAGAGAGCTGGACAGTAACTAAGGAGGATAGAAGAAGAATCAAAGCCTTTGAGTTAAAGTCCTGGAGAAGAGTATTGAAATGCCATGGACTTTCAGGAAAATAAACTGGTCTGTCTGTCCTAGAGAGAGTAAAAGGTGAAACCAAATTTCTCCTTGGAGAAAAAAAATTTTGAATCTCTGTCTCATATTCTTTGGGCATGTGACCAGGGGGGACCAGTCCTTGGAAAAGGACATCATGCTTGGAAGGGTAGAGGGACAGCACAAGAGAGGAAGACCCTGGGTGAGATGGATTGACACAGTAACTGGGATAATAGGGGTAAGTGTGTCAGAGACAGTGAGATTGGCTGAGAACAGAGTTGGGTTCAGAGTGTTGTGCATAGGGTTGTTATACAACAACAAGTAGAAAACAAACAGGACACCTTCCAAAATGTGCTCGAAGACACTTCAGCCTTGAGAGCCTTGTGGCTTTAGGCTAGTGTTACAAAGCTTTCAGGCCTGCCAATTATGACTCTCCCCCATCCTTACCAGTCGTCCAACAAACTTGGCAAAGAGGCTCTTAGCTCTGGTTCCATGGTGTGGGCCATGATCACATCAGTCAGTCCTAAGAGCCCATCACCTGTCAGGTCTCTAGTTCTCCCCTGTGACTGCTGTGGCTGCATTTTCTCCACAGCTTCCCTAGCCTCCTCTATGGTCCAAGAATCTCTGACTCCAAAGGACACATTACATTCTCTTCTTTGCTGGCATTACATTTTTATTACAGCATTAGTGAACTGGTTAGTGGCACTAGCTTTGGGATTAGATCAACTCTGTGGTCTCCTTTGTTATTTTGGTACTATTTCACACCTGATCCTTTCATTTGACACAGTGGATTGGCACAGTGACTGCAACAATGTGCTTGAGCATGACAGAGGTCATGAGGATGGACAGGATAGGGCAAGTTTTCAATCTTGTTCATGAGGCTGCTATGAGTCATAGTCAACCCACAGCACCTGTAACAACCACCACCACTCGGTGTGCCTCAATTTCTTATAAAATGAGACACCAATAATGCTTAGGGAGCTTTTATTACCTAACTGGTAAGAAGTTTTAAACTCAAAGGCAAGCAGTTCAAATTTACCAGCTGCTCCAAGAGAGAAAGATGGCCAATCTCCTCTCATATGACTTACAACCTCTGAAAACCTGCTGAAGGGTAAGCTGTGAGTCAGTATTTACTCAACACTGAGTCACTGACTGGTTTGTAGTGTAACATATTGGCCTATTAACCAAAAATTCAGTGGTTCAATCCATCAGTCCCTCAGTGGAGAAAAGATTAACACTATCTATCTACAGCCTTGGAAATTCAATAGAGGGTTGCTTTGGGTTCAAATTCACTCAATGACAGTGAAGTTTGGTGAAAGAAAAGACTAGCTCTCAGTGATTTAAAATCTACCAGAAAAGCAAGTGCTAGTAATTGTGATGAGGAGTTTGTTGTGAATGCCCGAGCTCCCTTTTGAGTTGTTTGAGTTTGAGAGAGGAGTCAGTCATTTCAAAGCGAGAGCAAATGTGAATAATTCTGAAGGGCAAAAAGGACTTGTCTGTAAATCATAGACGGGACATCCATAATCTGAAAACTTCCTATATTTAAAAAGGTAATTCTCCTGTGTGCTAATTTT